ATTTTGCAAAAGTGTTTGAAGCACTTGAAATAAAGTGTAACAGTAAGATCGGAGTTTAAAATACGGCAGGTAGTTTATTAAATCATCAAAAGCTAGAAATGTGAATAATATTAAGTTACTTACTTATTAAGTAGTTATATTCGATACATATGACATGATGATTACTTCGTGTTGTAAACACTTTTCTTACAACCAGTCTGTGTATTGTAACTGACAAGCGCTACATTTTATAACTTGATAGTGTCGTATTTTTCCAACAAATATTGGCGTAAAATCATATGGCCAAAAACAAAAGTCTCCGGTTTCTGGTATGCACGCGCGTCGCCGTAGCCATGCGCGTCGGCAAAATGAAAAAAAAATCAATGAAAGCTGATGTCTCAAAACCGCCAAACTCACTGGTTTGACTGGAATCCTGCTGCTGCACATTTTAACGTGTTTTTAGATGGGTTTGTGATCGAGATTAAGCTTTATGTGGCCTCACTGGTCTGAGTCCCATAATATTTGCACTAAGTTTAGTCGGGCACCATTTGTATTTTTTAATGCCCATTTGTGCTTTTAAAGTTTTAACTGCTTGTATAGTTCTATATTCTTATAATGTAAGCCATGTTTTACTAATGTCCATTTGTAATGTCCCTTTGTATTGTCTCTTCTTAAATTGTGGCATCAGGAGATTAACTCGATAGTAATTTAGTTTACTTTTTTTTAAATCCATCAGGGGTGCTTCTTTTTTTTTCTTTTTCTTGTTCTCTCTCCTAACTGTATGTGCATGTTTTTGTTTTCTTTACTGTTCTTATTGTCTGTAATTGAATTTTTACCTGTGAAATTAATAAATGAAATGAAATGAAAATGAAATTTGCAGTCATCAGCCGACATTTGAAGCAAAACAAAACAGGTAAAAAAAAAAAAAAACCGTCGCCGCACCACTTTTTGGGGCAAGCTCCATACCAGAAACAGGAGACTTTTTTGGCCTGAACGGGTATTTGATAAGAATTAAACTCTCAAAGTCAATTTGGCCTACCTTTAATTCAAAAAACACATACTAAAACGTCTGAATTTTAATTAAAATTTTTGAGGCAAAACATAAAGTGTACAGTGAAATCTCGATAAGTCAAACTCTGATTACCTAAAACAACTGTTGAGTCAAGCAAAGAATCCATTCCCTTCAGTAGTATAACAATAATATACATAGTTGTTTAACTCAAAACTTTGCTGAAGTCAAATTGTGTTCCTGTTCCTTTGAGGTTTGACTTTTAGGACATTTAAGAATTTTTCTGAGTCCATTTTGGTGCAATTCAAATACAACCTCGTTTTAAAAAGAACATTTTGAAGATTAATAAATGATTTGGGGGCGTGTCAACTATGTTTGTTTTTTTCTCGGAAACACACATTTTCAAGTGTTTCTGGAAATATTTTTGGAAAATCAATGTTAATGTGTCTGAAGATAAGCTTCTTATGACAATATGCTGGCATTGTTAGCACGGCTGGATCCAGAGGCCGTGATCCTATAACTTTTTAACCAAAAGAATAAGCAATCCCATCGCTCCCGCACCGTCCGCACTGTTATATGCGTATTTGTCGCATTGTGCTTCGTGACACTATTAAGTGTAATCAGTGTGGTTGTATTTTGACAAATAAATGTTCAAAAATGACATTGTAACGATTACATTTATTTGATGTTCTTTAACTCGTCTTTTGTCTTGATCAATCCCAGGGGTGATTTTGATTTTATTTATATCAAAACTACATATACACGTGTGTTTAGTTATAAACGCGGAGTAATTGGTAGACAAGCATGTCATTGGATATTGCCCAGTTTAGTTGTGAACAGATTTATATAGAAACAGAAAAAGAGTCACGAATTTTAGCTTTTCTTTAAAAGAACCATTTGTATAATTATTTTTTTTTAGAAAATGCACATTTTGGTCTGTCAAATCTTCATCGATGTCGCGAAGAGCCACACGTGGAATTTGAAGAAAAAGCGTTTTTGAGATAATCGTTAAAGAAGTTCCTCAGTTTTAAAACTGCAACAACAACTACTACTTTGAATGTAACACCTTTATGCTGTATGAAAACATTCACATGTTTCTTTGAACGGTAAACGTTTATGTAAACCCATTAATTAGATTCAGGATAATAGTTAATTAGCCAACACCAATTAGTAAAGATGCGTGTCCCTTCGTAAAAACGAATATCCACGTTTCCTACATTTAGGCCCCTTTCTGTTGAACGTGATTTTCCACAGGCAAGAGGCGCGCGTATTATAACACGCGCAACTGATAATGTAATAAAGATGTGTGGCTCTTCGTCAAAACGAAAATGTCACTTAACCTGCTTTTACGCCTTTCTGTCCAACTGATTTTTGTACGCTTTGTACGTTTTGTACGCGTTCAAGACACGTCCGTGTCTCTACGTGATAACACAAAATGCACTAATTGAGATGCCTGTCCTTTGCATCATTAATGCAATCAAGAATTTGATGATGTTTTGCTTACAGAAGCATGTCAAAATGGTTTACGGTACAATATTTTAAAGCAAAGTAGTGAAAAAAAAAATCGAAATCAAAAAATGGTCATTTTTGACATATGTGGCTCTTTGTAAAAACGGTGACGAAATTACATGTATTTATACGCACACATTACTTCCGGTTTGATGATGTCCTCAGTTGAAAAGTGCAAGCCGAATATTGATTTGTTTCAGGGACGATACCTATTGATTCATAACGTGAGGAGAACTTCTAAAATACAAAACATGACAATGATTGAAGAAGTGTTTGTATAATAACATATAACTTCTGGTTAAATGACGTCACAGCATTTGGCAGCCGAAGCCCAAATTTGTAATGCAAATCGTTATCGTGCTAGGAACATAGTCATGGATACTGATCAAATAATTGATTGGCATTGAACAAAATTGAAACTAGATGATTTCAAATTCTTTCTACAACAACTTCCGGTCGGATTTTGAAACCTCGCAATGTCAGTTGCTGTTGTCCAAAAAACATCTAGGGACATTTTAATATACTTTAGACCAGTGATTAAAAAAAAAATCTTTTACGTGTCTCTAGAGGGCGTCCTTTCTGAGGATGATGTAATCGTGGCTTTTTTGTGTGTTTGGCATCCCTTACTAAACATTTCCATCTTTTGATTTTAGTAAAACGCTTCCGTTTTCAAATAACATTCAATTCTCAATGCACTTCCGGTAACACCGGAAGTAAATACCAAGCGATTGAATGTGTTCGGGAATGAGAAATGTTTCCCAGGGCATCATGTACATCCACATGAAAAAAAAAACGAAAAAGGTACACTATTCAGCATATCAGTTCAAACAAATAACGACATAGTTCAAAACTATTTTGTCCAATTTTAACGGCCACTCCCGGCTGGAAGAGACCCCGTGGCCGTCCAAGATCATCTTGGTTGGAACAACTCGGACGGCCTATGACTGAATGTGGAATGAGGCTGTAGGACGCGGGCACAGGAGATCGGCGCGACGGACCTATGCTGTCTATGTGGACGAGTGAGTGAGTGAATGACATCATGACGACGTCACCAACACTTCCACTTCTTTTACAGTTGACTACGGTTCATGTTCGTACCAGGGTTCATCCTCGTAGAAATTAGTCAGTTTTGTAGGCTTCTATGTTCATTTTATATTCAGATGACTTTGACTTTCCTGTTTCCCCGGAATAAGAGGTCATGCGACTTTGCATTTGGTAATCAAAATGTTTATCAAATATGATCACAAAGTGTGAGCGTGATTGTTCATTTTATTCATGAGTTATAGAACGATTAAATAGCAATACATGTATTTTGAACAAAAATCACTTGTCATTTGATTGCCAATGACGACATCATGACGTCAGAGAATGTGAACGTGATTGTTTATTTTGTTCATGAGTTATACAATGATTAAAAATAGTAATACATGTATTTTGAACAAAAATCGCTTGTCATTTGATAGCCAATGACGACATCATGACGTCAGAGTAATATCACACGCCTGGGATCAGGTTTTAGGTATGTTCTAAGTTTCACGTTAATGTTGTGTACAGTTAAAGTTATAGTCCATCATTTGTAATGTGTGCATTTTGTTCGTTGAGGCAACAAAAGTGCTCGAAATCTAAAGAAGGGTACTGAACAACTAACGTGATAAATTTCAGCTCAGCTTCAGCTGTATATTCTGAGAAAAACTGCATTGTTGCTGAATCATGTTTTGAATTGCGCCTGAATTCAGCGTCCGAGACACGTTCTCGCTGAGCCGAATGCAGCTATACGCGATGTCGCGCACTGATTTGACAAATTATAGCAACCGGGGGTGCGTGTGCGTCGTGCCAATGCTTGCGCGCGCTTCGCCGAATAACAAAACGAACTACTAATTTACATTTTCCTACGGTGCGTCTTAAGAAGCATCGTTGGAAAGGCCTTCTTTCGTTGATTACTTCAAAATGACAGCTTGCCAGAAAGAATAATTTCACAGGGAGTTTAGTCTCCTTACTATCTTTCAACCAAGTTTGTTTTTTTTCAACAATAATTACGCCAGCAACTTTTCGGATAACTGCAAATGATGGACAATAGCTTTAAGAAGCAAATTTGCAAAGAAATATCTTCATGGACAAAAGGACGAGAAAATCGATTGAAATTATCTGTATTAACCGCCAGTATCAATGTACGTTTGACAGTCGTTATTATTATTAGGCATGTTCATAATTGTACTAAGATATTATAAATGAAATATTCAAGATATTTTCATCAGAATTTTTTTTATTCCACAGTGTATACAAAACCGTTGTCAACAAGTGTAAGTATTATTTTGAATGTCGATCAATAATACAGCTATTGTATACAAGATGTGCGTGTGGGTAACGCAAAACAAATAATGACAGTTCAACAACAATTTCTTTTAATTCGGTGGTTATTTTTTTCCGCAAAATGGAATGCATTTTTTTAAAAAGTATTCAGCAACACGATGCTCTTATGTATTTATGTGTGGTGATATTTTATTTATTCGGGGTAAAGGAGGAAGCCGCTAAATGAGGTGTCGTGACTGGAATAACCACCCACCCTACCGTGCATGGTAAGATACACCGTGTCTCCTTGCTGCAGAACCAGCACCGCGCTCCTAGACATCGGCTCATGGTGATTTGAAGCAGTGCTATAGCCAGAGACAACCACGTCGTCGTTCTTCCGGAGCTGGACGTACAGGTAGCTGCTGGAAGGATATTTGTTCATAGAAAACATGAACACGTAGGTGCCCGACACACTACACGTGAATGTGCCAGTCTCGAGATCGAAGCTGGTACCCGGCAGTAGCGTTGCGGTGTGCTGGAAGGGCAAACGGGTGTTAATGTTAGTAGACACATCTGAAGCACTCCTCCTCACCACGGTGAATGCCACCCGCTGGTTGGAGTGGTCTGGTGTCTCCCCTGGCTCACCCTTTTGACCTTTGACGCCAGTCTGACCGACTGCTCCAACTAACCCTGGTGTACCCCTCGGACCTACCTTGCCGGGCAACCCTATCCCGTCGTTCCCAGGGTTCCCAGGTGTTCCCCGCTCACTCATAGGGCCAATTGGTCCAATCTCACCCTCATGACCTGGCTCGCCCTTTGACCCCGGCTGACCGTATGGCCCCATCGGCCCTACAGGTCCAGGCAGACCTGGTATGCCGGGTATAGCGGCAGGTCCCTGGCAGCACTGCTGACACACCTGAGACGCAGGACCATCACCGTCCGAGGGAACCGGCCCAGTAACGGAAGCTAGGAGCTTGACAGAGTTACCTAGAAGTAGGGCGATTGATAAAATTGCCACACAGATCTTCATCTGTAAAGAAAAATAACAATAAAATACGTAAACATGAGAACAAATTAAATGCCTTGTGCTTGAAAAGTTTAAAGCAGACAGCGGAGCAGAAGGGCCATATAATTTCTGCAAACATCATATCTATTCAGGATTTCTACATTCCAGATAGATAAAGCAATTTGAACTTGAATAATACGTTGTGCATCATCATCCAATCATCAAGGTCCAGTTTATTCTATTTCCTAACCGGTGACTCTCTTATTATACATTGCTTATAAAAGTAGCCTAATAATAAAGCCGGAATTGAACACTGTGAACTAGTCTTTGTTCGAAGACGTTACTACGTGTGTTTGTGTACGTATGTAATCATACTACCAATGAACACTTTTGCAAAACAATTGTTTTCAATCAACAGAGGGCGCACTTCAATGCATTACAGAAGTGGAAGTACAGGATCGATCGCGCTAGAATCGATACTCGTTGAATAAATATGTTGAATAAGCACAGTGAATAAGAATCGATTACATTGCAGAATCGATAACAGATTTGTTTTGCGGGCCTATAGTGCAATATAATTTTTGCGCGGAAAAAAAAATATTCCACGAAGGTCTTGGAACCAAGACTAACTGTGAACTACCAAACTGACAAAGTTCAAAAGTGCAAAAGGTATATTGCGATCTGACTCATTCATAACACCAATAAGACATTGACCAATAAGACAGCCATGTGTGAGTGGTCCAGATTTCCTGCATCCGTTCTTCCATGACCAACTTTGCATCATAAATTGTTTAGAGTGATTGCTGAAAACATGATTACATGTACATCACAACATGTGTTTGTGTTTGAAAAGGAAGGTTTTTTATTATTATTATTATTTATTCGACCAAAACAATTTACAATGAACAAACTCAGTATGAAAAACAAAAACTAAACAAAAATGTATGAAAGCTGAGAAGTACAAAATAAAACAAAATAAACACAAAAGAAGACACTGTATAAGTGTAAGTGTAAGTGTAGGGGCCAGAAAAACAACGCATACTATGAAAAATCTGAAGACCATAAATATAAAAAGACGATATGTGGGTCAGGGGTCACAAAAGTAAAGTCAATTACTATTACCCACAGGTATGTAACCCCGCACATATTAAGCAGACAAACGCAGACAAGAACAAAACAAGGTACAAGAAAATAATGAAAATATTAAACAGCAACAAGAAAACTGACCCCTGTTACAAATTACACGCAAGCAAGATGACTAATGTAACTAAGCCCAAATCATCTAAAAGTCCCCACCAATTAAATGCAACAAGTATATGAATAAACTTATAAGGATAATGAAATCAGTTGTCTGAGAAAAGTAATTGCCGAAGATTCCGAAGGAAAACAGGTAGAGTGCAGGCGCGGTTCTAGAACCATTTTTTTTTTTTTTTTTTTTTTTGGGGGGGGGCTAGCACGGTGGATCCAGAATTTTTTCAGGGAGGCGTGCTGAAATGTTGACCGGTTATTTTTTCCAGACACTTAGGCCTCCGAAAATCAATAGGGGGGGGGGGGGGGGGGGGGGGGGGGGGGGGGGGGGGGGGCTCATGCCATATTTTCAATGGGGAGCGCCAATAAAATCCTAAAATCATTCACACTATATTAACTAATGCACCCTTGTCACGGCTATTTCTTTTTTAGGGGGAGACCGTTCGCATGTACATCACAATCCTTCTTTTTTCTAATGCAATTATTTTTTTTTACGGAATTTATTTGGGGGGGGGGGCTAGACAAAAAAATGGGGGGAGGGGGGGCTACAGCACTAGCCCCCCCCCCCTAGAACTATTCGTAAATTAGCAGAAAATTTGAAAGAAATGCAGTCAAACCTTAAAAGCCATGTTTTGTCAATAAAAAGTACCGTGACTGTGAATCGGTATTGCGCTATTATTGCAAAGAGATATCAAGTGAGTTTCTTTTAAAGAATTTACGATCGACGTTTTATGTTATCATTCAACTAAAATGGCCTAATAATGAACATAAACAAAACGATGAAGTCTCCCACCTCATCACATCTCTATTGTGATGCTTGATTGCGGTAAATGCCAAGTAACAGACACTAACCTTCAAGTAATGTTCTTCAAACCTATCACGAAAGGAATCCTCAACACTCGAGCAGATTGCTGGATGAAAAAAAAATAGCAACAACAATGATTTACTAAAAATCAGCTCGGAGATAACTCCGGAGGAGGAGGAGGCATAGCTGAATTTCACAAGTAAAACACTCTATGTCGGGGCGAACTTAGCCTTTTGCCAAGGTCATTGTGGCTTAGAGCGGCGGAGCTGCGAAAGCACGAAGCGACTGGAGCAAGGATTAAGTCAGCACACACGAGTGGCGAAGCCACGAGGCCTTTTCCAACTTGATTTTGTTGAATTATTCATAGTTTTTATGCAAATAAGAAGATGCCGAAAGGTTAACTAATCACAACGCGGATATTGCCTAGTTGCTTCCATTTGTGAAAGAAGGGTGAGTAAGGAAAACGCAAGAGCAAATAACTAAGTTCAGATAAAAAATAAGTTCATACACTCAAATAAGTTCTTGAAATACTTTTATAGGTAAAATAAAAATATGATTTCGAGGAAAACTCAACCTCCACCCCAGGGTGTCGAGCAGTACGCGCCCATCACTACCTGCTCTCTCACCCTGTTATTGGATCATTTGCATGTGCAAGATTTTTGAACATTTATGCAAATGAGGAATAGTCTGGTGCCTGCATGTGCGTTACATTATCGTTCGTTTTTGTATGCGGTGTCTGGGGTAAAAACAGAGTCAATTCGTCGCAGCGCGAGCACAGCGTGAGTTACGAAAACGCCATTTATTTAATTAAATTGTTACGATCTCATAAAGACAACATGCAGTATCACATTTCATATTAATATGAACACATTGGGAAAGGAAAGGAATGTTTTTGAGAAGGTTAGACGAATGATCATGAAAACACGTACTGCACGTTGTGAATAACAACACCAAGTACACGATAAAAATCCTTTACTAGCCAATTGCGATATCGAATCAGGATACAGGAGGAAAGTTTACTATCCAGGGTTTACTATTGGAAACACGGTTGGAAATAAAGTAAGCACTGGGGACGAGGTTGAGGAAAACTAGACTCGCATTGTTTGTTTTTAAATTCTGTGCAAGCATCCGGGGGGGTCGACGCGTCCGGGTAGTAGCCACTAAAAGTATGATGATTGGTTGGAATTTTGCTACCCGTTTGGGATAGCACAAATCGAGATAATAAAAAAAAACATAAACAAATTCTTGACAAGTTGGAAAAGGCCCTCGTGGCTTCGCCACTTGCGTGTGTGGTCTCCCGCTCCAGTCTCTTCGCGCTTTTCGCCGCTTTGTCTGATGCCGGCAAGTTAAGCCACGATGGATTTGGCGAAAGGCTAGGGCGAACTGTGATTTGGATTGATTATTTCCAGTGAACTATACAACGGCCTGAATGGACTCACGCAAAAGTTTACAAAAATAATTTCTCACAAATAGGATTCTATTCTCTTTTTATCTTAAAAAAAACACAACAACAACAAGCTTAAGCAGTGCAAGTTTATTTGCAAATGCCCGGAAAAGTAACTACCCGTTTAAAAAAATAATTATCATATTGCGGCCATCTTGAGTTTTTCGCTTTTAAATAAACGTAAGCAAAGCGAGGCTGGAGGAAAAATAGTCTGGTTCCTATTTTGCACACAATTATTATAATTCAGTACTGTAAAATGGTGGCAGCATAAAGGTTTATGACAGAAACGCAATGCTCAAAAGGAAGATAGGACTGGAATCAAATACCCTGTGAAAATTATATAAAAAACCCTAACATGGAATGGGTTTTCAAAATAATGTCCCGCGTGCACATTGTGTTTAATACGTGAGTTTGCAACGGAATCCTTTTCCAAGACTGAATTTCAGACCAATACATTGTGCATATATTTTTCTCATCGTGCAGGTTAGTTGTTATGCACCCTACTTCAGATTCTATGGAATTTGGTTGCATCTAACAAAATAGTACTGAAGGGAAATGATCCTATATTCCTCTAAAATTGCTTGAATTTGTAGTTGTATGAATCACAATGAGCTTACATTTTCTACATTGTTAAGGGAGTCGATCTCATACCAAGGAAGTAGTGGCGGTAATATTACAGGTGGACTACCATAATCAAGTTACAGTCGTTAAAAAAATGAATATTTTGGTATGAGAACATCAGCCACCATCTGTCTGTCAACCGAATGTGTATTAAAATCGTTAGGATTTGTGAAAATCGGTACAACCATTCAACAAAAAATATTCAAAATATTAAGCCAAATACCACTATCGCTGTTTGTAAAAAAATAATTCAACAGAATCTGAGTGGCATGCTGAGTGGAACCCTATGCAAACATAACTGAATTCATGCGAGAGCTTGTGCTGCATTTTTTTTTAGGGGGTCAGTACAGCAGAAGGCCCGCATAAAAAAAAAATGTGTACAAACATCAACTGCATACACTGATTTCTACAAAGGAATCCCAGCGAGAACTTTAAAAGTAAAACAATTGTTTGTAAAACTCACCTAGCAAATCACTTTCTTGTTGTTCTCACAGTCAGGTCTCTCTCTCGGCTTGTCGTCAGAGGCTGAAGAAGAGCAGTGGCCGCCTGTGAGGGGAAAAAGCGGGTGCTCGTGCCTTAAATATTACCATCGATTTCCTGAGCAGTGACTGAGGACAATGGGTCGGTTTGTGATTGGTCCCTGCGCGCTGTCAATCACACACCACTGACTCGCTTCATATTAATGAGACGGATGTTATAAGTTGACGTGGTCCAGGCTAT